AGAAACTATAGCCCTGAGGCAGAATGAGCTGCTGATTCTAAACTGGGCTCTGTGGAGCGCTGTCTGCAGGGGCCTTATAGAAACGATCTTCCTGAAAATCACCTGGAATTTTCCACAGCCTGGTGATTTAATGGGAGGCAGGTGAAAAGACGGGGCTTTGTTTGACAGTCAGAACTAAACTCCTACATCCTTTTCTTCTGCATGACTTTCGCTTCTGAACGGCACTTCGCCTCCATTCTATTGATCCAGGAAACCCCGAGGGGAGGTCTGCTCTGTCCAGGCTGTCCCTACTTAACAGCTTGATGTCAGAAATGCTGTTCTTTGTTTTCTCAATATTGAACTGACTGTGATATGCCCTAGTTACCCGCTAAGGAGAGAAGGAGCCAGGCGTGATGGTGCATGCCTGTAATCTCAGTACCCTGGAGGCTGTGGCAGGAGGACTGCTGAAAACTCAAGCCCTGCCTGGGCACCTGGGCTCTATAATGAGTTCAAAGCCAGCCTGAATTACATAGAGAGACCCTCCCTCAAAACAACCAATAAATAAGGAAAGCAGGAATTCATCTCTGGTAAGTGGGACAGTCACTGCAGGGCAGAAAGGCTCCTGTCCGGGGGCTCAGCCTGGGGAGTCGCAGTAACATTTTGGGGATCACATTAGCGGCACACAGCTCCCACAGGCCTTGTGGGGCTCCTTCTCTATTTCAAGATGACTTGATACCTATTTTCAGGAAGGTCTTCGCTGCAGAATGAGGAAGCAAGTCTGGCAGCCTAGAGAGTTAGGAATCCGGGGTACCTCCTCTCCAGAGGGGCGGGGGCCTTCTGAGCGCGGCGTGACATCGTGCACGGACCCGCGTGCTCCCTGACCGATGCGCAAGCATCTTCTATTTGCCTCCTCCTCCCCAGCCCATGTGGTTCCCCTGCCCCACGGCTTCCCATTTGGCCAGGGGGAGCCCCAGTCAGGTAAAGGAGGCTGGGAGGAAGGGGAGGGGAGGCGACCCTCTGCCCTGGCTCACTCCCGGTCTGCGGCAGGCACGGAGGCCTCACCTGCTGCTGCACAGTCCTCTAACCCTCCCTGGGCTCTTCCTCACGGGGCTCAGGATAGCCGCACCGCCTCTGAGGGTGCTCAGGATAGCCGCACCGCCTCCTTGCACTCCCCACTTGAGCGATACCGCTTCCAGCCGGGACTCCACCTAACGCACAGGACAGCCTTCCTGTCCACATTTCACGGTTTCAAATTGTCAAAGCTAGACGTGCAGGTACACGCGTGTAATCCCCGCACTCGGGAGGCTGAGGGTGAGTTCGGGACCAGCCTGAGCTGCACAGGAAGACCATGTCCCAAACCGCCAGCCTCAAATGGAATAAGATTGTTGGTGTGCCCATTTCTCCTGCCTGTGGGTACAGCTGCTTCCCGCTGGCCACCTGCAAAGAGGGGCTTCCTGCTGAGGGGATTGGCCAGCCGGGGATCTGCTCCCCACAAAAGGGCACAGGGCCTTCTCTGGCGCTGTCCTTAGTCTGCTGGCTGCTGCTGTGACTCAACACCTCAGGCCGAGTGATTTATAAAGAATAGAGGTTTACGCGGCTGCCTGTCCTGGAGCTGGGGAGCCCTTGGGCATCTGGCGAGGGCCTTCCTGCTGTACCCTGACACGGCACAGGGTGCACGTGGCAGATAGAGCAAGGGGCCAGCTCAGGTCTCGGTTGCTTGTCAAAACCTCATCAAATCCTAATCATCTCCCCAAGGCCCCACCGCCAAATCCCACCGACACATGAATGTAGGGATTCAGCACATGGGTGGGGGAGGGGACATACATACAAAACCCCTAGCACCCCACAGGAGGGGAGGCCGGGGGAAAGCTTCCTCCCAGCAGTACCCAGGAGCGGCCATTATTAGCTGGACTCCCTGCCTACCCAGACAGGCTACTCATCCATCCTTTTCATTGGTTTGTTTGAGATAGGGTCTCACTATGCAGTACAGGCTGGCCTTGAACTCACAGCAATCCTCCTGCCTCAGCCTCCTGGGCACAGGGATTATAGGCTGCACCTCCGCACCCGGTTCTTCCTCCACCCTGAGGTTAGAACTCAGCCTTGCATTCTCTTCTTTCCCGAGAACCTGGGCCACCAGGGAGGAGGCCTCTGCGAACAATCGGAACAAAGCAATCCGCACTCACTTCGCTCCACAAGCATTCTTTTAAGTTGGTCCAGAACCTCTGCTTGCTTGATACTCAGCATAGCTGCCAGTTGTTTATTTTCTCACATTTCACATCTCTGAAATCAAACCTATCTATGATCAACAGCACAGTTTAAATTTTGGCTTTTTAGTGGCCCATGCCTATGTGTATCTTAGCGTCAGTGCTTCTTTTTTTTTTTTTTTTTTTTGCGTCAGTGCTTCTTAAACACCCAGATCTCCTGTGACCCTCCAACCTCCTCCAGCTGAGACTCCCTTCCCGGATTCCCACACCTGCCGTTCCACTTTGCCTTTCTTTGTGTTTTCATATCCTTCTTCCACGCGGCTAACTGTGTGTCAGCCATGAGCTGTGAGTTCTTTGACAGCGAGATGTTTACCCACGACTGCTCTGACCTGAGGTCACAGATCCTCCATCTTCACGTCAAATTATTTTTGTTATTCTGCTCTGGTTTGGTTTTGAACCTGCTTGATGATACTTGGAAGGCATCAGCCATCTGTTGCTGTTGCTGATGCTCAGATATTTCTAGTTCAACAGAGCTTGAGAGAAATTCCTCAGTGTGGGGCTTAATGAAAGCCAGGGAATTTATTGAAAAGTAAATACACAGCCGGGCGTGGTGGCACACGCCTGTAATCCCAGCACTCAGGAGGCTGAGGCAGGAGGATCATTGTGAGTTCGAGACCAGCCTGGGCTGCAAAGTGAGCTCAAGGCCAGCCTGAACTGCATAGTGAGACCCTGTCTCAAAAAAGACCAAAAAAAAAAAAAAAAAAAAAAAAAAAAAAAAAAAAAAAAAAAAAAAGAAAAAAAGAAAAGTAAATACACAAACCCCTTTGTTAAACAATATACGAATCTACTAAACAGCTTAAACCACACAAGGCACCCACACACATTCCCATGCACAGATTTATATGTGTGCCTATGGGCACACAGTTATACCTGGACAGACAGGCAGGCAGACAGACAGAGAGACCAAGAAATGAGATGAGAAAAAAAAAAAAAAAGATAAAAAAAAGCCGGCGTGGTGACACACGCCTGTAATCGCAGCACTCGGGAGGCTGAGGCAGGAGGATCACTAAGATTTCAAGACCAGCCTGGGCTACAAACTGAGCTCAAGGCCAGCCTGAACTGCATAGCGAGACCCTGTCTCAAAAAGACAAAAAAAGAAAAGAAACGAGATGAAGGGAGACAGGTGCGGGGAGAGCCTAGGCGGACACCCTGGAGCCCCTGCGAGTGATAGAGGCGCTGATGTCCTCAGGGGTAGATTTCACCTCCCCATGAAGGCAAGGGACACACCCTAGCCCTGACCCTGGATGTACGTCTGCCCCTCCCACCTGCAGTCCCGCCACCTTCCTGCAGGGGCACGACCCCCTCCTCCCAGATCCGCGCCCCAAGCTGACAGCAACAGGGGCTGGACTTGGAGGCGGGTGGGGCAAGAGCCGACCTGCGCACGCACCTGGGTGGACTTTCCAACCCCGACCTGTGTGCCAGTCGGCCTTGTTCCCACAAGCCATTGCCTTCAGCAGGAAGGCAGCTGGTGGCGTCTCAGGAAGCAGTTGACCCTGATCCCCAAATCTAAAGTCACAAGCACTTGGCGGTTGTGTTCCTGCAAGGCCAGGGAAGCCCCGCCTGGAGGGGGAGCGCTTCGGCGCCGATTCCTTTACCTAGGGCCAGCCGCACCTCTAGCTTTGGTCCGGGGGTGGGAGCGGGGCCTCTGAGGGGGCGGGGCCTCGACACAGTGGAACCTCCAGAGAGGGCGGTCTGGTGGGCGTGGTGTCAGGCGGAGCTTCCGTGGGGCGGGGTTGGTGGGCGGGGTCTCAGCAGGGGCGGAGCAAGGAGACCTGGCCCCAGAGCCTTAGGACAGCTGAGCAGAATTACCTCTAGCATCAACAGCAGAGATTTCCGTACTGCCTACACCATTTTCTGAGTTTTGAGAAAAACTGAATTACAACACATAAAAAAAATTGTAGGAATACATTTTTTTCCTGAGTTTGAAATCATTGATCTGGACCTAGAGGTGTAGCTTACTGGTGAAGCACTCACCTAGCACACGCAAAGCCCTGGGTTCCATCTCCAGCACTGCAAGATAAATAAGTAAAAAATCAGTGGGGATCTTGGGGGTTTGGGCATAGCACAGCGGTAAGTCATGAGCTTTGCCTGCACAAGGCCATGGCTTCAATCCCCAGTACTACAAAAATAAAGAAAAATACCAAGTGATTTTTTAAAAATGATCTTTGTGAGGAAGAAAACAAAAATAACTGTCCCCTTCAAATATGTACACACAACGCTGGGTGTGGTGTCACATGCCTGTGATCCCAGCACTCGGGAAGCTGAGGCAGGAGGATCGTTGGGAGTTCAAGACCAGCCTGGGCTACAAAGTGAGCTCAAGGCCAGCCTGAACTGCATAGCGAGAGCCTGTCTCAAAAGGACAAGGAAAAAAAGAGCAAACACATATACAGTGTCTAGAAAAATATTCCAACCCACTGAAAATAGGCTTTTCAGAGTTTTGGAATTACAAGAGTTTGTTTTTTTTTTTTAAATCTATATTTTCTAATTTTACCATAATGAAAAATGTACTGTTTTGAATAGCAAAGACTGAAAGAATAAACACTGTCGTCGAAACCATCCTGCTGGCTTGTTTTGCAGAAGGGCCCTTGGGAGCTGCTGGCCACAGGATGTGGGGTGCAGGCGTCGGAGCCTGAGGCTTTTCCTGGATTGCCGTCAGTCCGCTGCATCAGCCTGGCTGGTCCCCGAGGCAGGTGGCCCTTGCGGGCGGGTGACATCCCGGTCAGTTAACAACGTGCTTCTGTTGGGCTCTGCCTGCAGGCCTCCGAAGGCGTCCCGGTCAGGTACTTCACTAAGCTGGACCAGCTCATTGAGTTCTACAAGAAGGAGAACATGGGGCTGGTGACCCACCTGCAGTACCCTGTGCCGCTGGAGGAGGAGGACGCCGGCGATGAGCCCGAGGAGGACACGGGTAGGAAGGGAGAGAGGGAGGCAGGGTGTCAGGGGTGCCTTCAGGACCTGGTCCTTGGGCCAGGGATGTAGCTCAGCGGCACAGAGCCTGCCTGGCAAGAGCAAGGTCCTGAGTGCAATTCCTGAGTGTAAATAAATAAGAATGGAAACAGGACCTGGTCCTCCACCCCCGAGTACTTGCAGATTAGAGGGTCCTCTATTTAGAGGGGGACGGCGTGGCCTGGTGGTGGAGGACAGGTTAGGAACGCAGGCTCTGACAGGACACAGGCACACATGGGCTGGAAGTCCGGCTTCCCAGCTAGTTAGCTTTGCGATCTGGAGTAAGTGACTTAACCTCTCTGAACCACAAGCTTCTCTTTAGAGACAGTAAGACAGCACCGTATCTACCTCTCAGGGTGTCGCAAGGATGAAATGAGCCAATGAATGTAGTGCCCCGTGCCTGGTACATAGTAGGAAACTCAATAAATGCAGTTCCGACATTTTCACCATCACAGTCTCACCATGGGGACAGGCGGGGAGGAGCGCCTTGGACTGGAAGGAAAGGGTGAAAGATGTTTCTTTATATCATCATTAAAAGGGAGGGACAAAGGTACAGCTCCTAAATATCTCTTGAAAAAAAAGCCCAGCAGGGTGGCACACACCTGTAACCCCAGCACCCTAGGAGGCTGAGGCAGGAGGATTGCAAGTGCAAGCCCAGCATGGGCAACTTAACAAGACCCTGTATGGAAATCTAAAAATAAATGAATAAAAGGCTGGGGAGGAAGTCCAGTGTGAGAAGGCCTTGGGTTCGATCTCCAGTACAGAAAAAAAGAAAAAAGGCCCTGAAGTGTGCGAGGCTCAGGCCTGCCCCTTACACAGCTCGGGCGCAGTGAGCACGGAAGTGAGTCACGGAGAGAAAGCTACAGAAAGAAAGCTCACCTGCGGGCCCCTTCGCCCCGCTCAGAGGGCCGTTTCCTAAAAGGAAACACGAGGCGCCTCCTTCGCCCCGCTGCTGGCCGGGCGGTTTGGGCAGGCAGCCTGGGCAGGTGAGACCCGAAGCACTAAACTCCCTGGCTGGCTCCGATCTGTCCGCCAGGCCCTGGTGACAACTGCCAGCCCCCTGCAAGGCTCTCTGTCCCCTCCTGTGGGCTGGCTTGTGGCCACCAGCCTCCTCTTCCACCCCGCCCTGGACTCCTCAAGGACAGACTGACAGCTGTCTCCCCGCAACGGGGCCCAGCTCCACAGGGCCGGAAGGGGCCCCAGGCAGGCCACGTCTTTCTGCCCTCACTGGCAGGAGGCCGAGGTGCCCTCAGTGACTAGGAAGGACCAGCAGGGCGTAGCCAGAGCTGAGCTGTGCGTGTGTGAGTCTACAGTCACCCGCCAGGGTGGTGCCCACTTGTGCTCAGGGACCATGCAGCAGCCTTGTCCTTGACCTTGACCTTGAGAAGCTGTCCTGCAGCAGTGCCTCCCGCACATCACCGCCCTATGCGCGGCGGGCGCCCCCCTCACCCCTTCAAGCTTGCTGTGCCTCGGGGGTGCTGTCTGGAGACAGATCCGGCTGACACACTTCCTGTAAGGACTGGAGACAGAAAGAGCCCCAGGCTCGTGACTGCCGGCTTCACTTCCCCAAAGAGGTCCAGGCGAGCGGACACGAGTCGGCCGGGTGCAAGGTGCCTGATTCGGCTCAGGTCTGCCCGCCTCCGGGGCCTGAAACTCACTCATAACCATCTCCAGAACCCAGCGCGGGAGAGGAAGTGAAATGCGGTCCACTAACAGAGAAAGTCCCCAGACAGCGCCTTGGCCGCGGGCTGTGCTGGCCACTGCTGTGAGAAAGAGCGTGGGCAGGAAGTGGCCTTTGCCTGTTCATGGTACACGCGGGAAAGACGTTCTACGGAGGCGGGCAAGGTCCCGGCGTCAGGTTAAGTCTGGTTTAACATTTCCGGTGTCTGAGTAGGGGGACTGCCCTCTCCCTCCATCTTTTCTTTTTTGAGTCAGGGTCTTGCTATGCATTCCAGTATTCCAGGCTGGCCTTAAACTTGCTGTGTAGCCCAGGCTGGCTTCGAATTTGCAGCAGTTCTCCTGTCTCAGCCTCCCAGGTGCTGGGATGCTAGGCATGTCCACCCCTCCCAGCTCACTTTTAAAAACTTTGTCCCTGAGGCTCTGCAGGAAAAGAGAGGGGGGCAGAGGCAGGAGAGGAGGTGCAAAGAGGTAGAAGAGTGAGGTGATGGAGGGGCAGTTGGCCAGGCCTCCCGCCTTCCCAGCCTGGCCTCCCTCGTGGGCTGTGGCCCCAGGAAGCCTGGCCTGGCTCCGTCTGTCCAAGGCCCACAGCCCTGTAGGCCACCCTGCCTGTGCCCGGCAGAGCCACCTGACCCCAGCAGGTGTTTGCAGAGTCCTGCAGTGGCCCCAGGTGCAAGGATGGGGAGAACCAGGCCTGTGCCCAGGGGCTTCCGGCCAGTCTGGAGTCTGAGAGGAAGTGGCTTGGGGAGGCAGAGTGGGCACAATGGGGACCTGGACTGGTGGTGGAATGTGTGGGAGGGTGATGCCCAGAGCACCTCACCAACGGCTCCCTGCTGTTCTTTTGGGTAGAAAGTGTCACATCTCCGCCTGAGCTGCCACCCAGAAACATCCCTGTCTCTGCTGGGCCCTGTGAGACCAAGGAGCTTCCGGTGCCAGCCGAGAACCCCCGTGCTCCCGAGGCCAGCCGGCCCAGCCTCTCTGAGACACTGTTTCAGCGGCTGCAGACCATGGACACCAGCGGGTGAGTCCCTACCTGGTGGGTGCCCCATGAGGCTGGCCCAGTGCCCAGTGCCAGGCACTCCTGGGCCCACGTCCTGGGCAGCAGCTGGCCTTCAGCCTGAGGAATGGCAGCTCTGTCCCTGCAAACCACATTTTTGCTCATTTCTAAATATTCCATTAATTGCAAGGTTGAAAACCGACTTGTTTCTAGCCTAGATTATCTCCCCCTCAAGTTGTACAGTTTTCTTTTATATAGTGCAATTGAAAATATGGCGAATGTGGAAAACTACACGTACCTTATGGGAAGTCTTTTTGATTGGGAGAATGACATTTTGTAAAAATATTTTTAAGTAAAAATTTTATGAAAAAATATCAGTTTGTTACAGTGAAAGAGACATTGCCATTAGCCCCCTTCAAAATCCTCCCCCGCACTTTGAACACACTTATCCCATTGTTCTTGCCACTTTCTGGAGCAGCTCTGGAAGTCCTCTTTCGTGAGTGTCTTTACTTGTGCTGTCCTGGCTGCCTTGATGTTCTGAATCCATTCAAAATGCTGACCTCTCACAGTCATTTTGACTTTGAGCAAGAGCCAGAAGTCCCGGTGAATAAGTGCCAGATCCGGTGAATAAGCTGATGAGGACACACTGTCATGTTTTCATTTGACAGAAAATGCCATACTGTTTTCTTTTTTGTCTTCTTGAGGCAGGGTCTCACTATGCAGTTCAGGATGGTCTTGAGCTCACTTTGTCGCCCAGAATGGCCTCAAACTCACAACGATCCTCCTGACTCAGCCTCCTGAGTGCTGGGATTGTGGGTGTGCGCCGCCATGCTCGGCTTGCCATGACGTTTTGAGGCAGTCACAGAAGGACACATTCAGAGCTGCATCAGCAAGTGGCCAGAACAGGGGAATGAGTTGGAAGTGGGGAGGACTTTGGGAGGCACTCATGACAATGTGTTTTTCCTGCAATACATTTTTAAATTTAAACTTTCACCATATATTTTGATCATACCTCATATATTAACCCTTTGTCCATCGTCTTTATGGGAAAAGAATCCTAGCTCCTAGCTCCTTGCTCACCTTTCAAGTTTGAGAATGTTTTTATCTTACTGAAGGGCATCATGCCCCTTGTGAACGCAAGTTCTCTTCTACTCTCAGAAGGTCGCTGTCACTCACCTCGCTACCCACAGTCACCAGGTGCCAGCCACCCCAGAAGGCTGTGGCTGCTCCTTCCCTTGTGTTCCTACGACAGTCAGATACAGAGGAACAGTCTCCTCCCCAGGCCACTTTCCCCACGGGGCCAGGGGAAGTCCAGCGCGTGTCCACACTCGGCCCCCTGCTCTGGTCCTAGGAGGGCATCCCGAAGTCACTGCCTCGTCAGCAGGGAGCACAGGGCTAAGCAGCAATAATGACAAAAGGTCTACTGTGCTGGATGAGGTGCTGCCCCAGTGACCAGGGCATGGCGCTGTCCCTCGGTGTGTGCGATGGGGCCAAGGGGTCACGATGGTCAAAGGGAGACAAGTTGAGTCCTGGGCTGGGCCTTGTGTGCACGCGCGTTCCTGTAGCAGGGAGGCGCAGTGTGGTTAGTCATCTGCAGCTCTCTCTGGGGCTTGGGTGAAGGACTCCTCTGCCCCCTGCTAGAGGATCGATCCACCGATCCACCGATCCACCGATCCATCCCCGCTCATCCTGTTACTCAAGCAGGAGTGAGGGGGAGCGGCAGAGATGCCCAGGCAGGTTAGGCCCTCGCTCCTGGCCTTCAATCCCTCTCCCTCCTTCCCGCCCGAAGGGCAGCTGGGGTGGGTGGGGAGCCCTGGGTTTATCCCAGGGGCCCTGCTTCCTGGAGCTGAGAGAGGAGGGAGGTGGGGACCGGGGACCCCAAGGGAATGGGTTCGTCTTTTCTTGTCCCCAGCCCCCAAACTAAACCCTGGCATTGGGACTTCAGATTGCTTTTCCATCTGCCTGGACAGACCTCCCTCACCAAGTCCTTGGTGTCCCCTTTTGTGTAGGCCAGGAGCAGTGGTCCTAAGGCGAGACCACCAGCACGAGGGGACAAGCGTCTAGCTGCCTGCCTCCTGGAAGCCCCACTTCCATCAGAGGCCAGGCGGCTGTTCAGAGTGTCCCGCTCCCCACACCAGGCCTGAGGGAGCCTGGGTGCACGGGCAGCCATGGACGCATGGGCACAAAGGACCTCGCTCAGATGCCTGCCCCCTGCAGGCCCAGCTATGGAACAGTGTCCCCTCCGGCGGACACCCCGGAACTCCAGGGCCAGGTGTGCCTATGTGCTGAGTCCCTGGCAGGACTTCTGGAAATGATCACAAATACCTCTGCTACTATGGGTTCTCAGGGGCTGCGGATTTAGCTCAGTGGCACAGCGCCTGCCTTGCAAGTACAACATCATGAGTTCGATTCCCAGTACCGGAAAAAAAAAAAAAACAAAAACCAAAAAAAAAAAAAAGTGAACTTACTATGGGTTCTCCCAAGTCCTCCCGTCAAAACCAGGGAGCTGCCTGCACCAGCTGGAGCCGCTGCACAGCCCCTTCCTGCTCTGGGGCGCGTGCAGAGCTGGCCACCGCTGGCCGCTGTCCATGTCACCCATCAAGCGGTTGGAGCACTGCTTCAGGTGCGGTGTGGATGCCAAGGTCTGCCCAGCACCGCTCTCCTGTCTTTGCCGTGGCTTATGAAGGCACTGTTGCCCCAACCCTTCTGACCTTTGCTCCAGGGTGAGGTGCAGGGTGCCTGGTGAAGACCCCTGGTTTCTGCTGGTCCACGCAGGCCAGTTCCTATGGCTTCTCCTGCAGTAGCCCTGGATGATGGACCGGAGGCCCAGGCCAGAAGGCAGGGCCATAGCAGGAAGAAAGCGCCAGGAGGGCACTTGAGTTCCCGGGCCCGGCACGCTGCCTGGCATGAGCAGGCACTCACCGGATGTGTGTGGGGTGAATCAGCGTCAGTACACCGGCACTTCTCCTCCTTAATGCTGCCATCTTTTTTTGGTCTTTGGTTCTCTGTGAGAAAAAAATCCCCCACTCCCCGCAAAGAAAATTTTAATAGCAGGACTGGTGCGGCTGCTTTTCCCACTGGAAAGGCGGACTGGAGATTCCAGGGCTGTGCTCCTCGCTGACAAAACACAGAGGAAGCCTCGGACGGCTCAGACACCTGCTGGCTGGTCCCTGCCCATTGCGCCTGCCGGCTCTTCCCCAGGCCCACTGCTTCTATTCCCTGGGTGCTTCTCTGGCTCAGCGCTCTTTCTCCCGGAGCCGAGGAGCCCGCGCCTTGAACCAGTCGGTACACTGCCATGACCACGCTGGTGTGTGTCTGAGTACCGTGGCTCGGTGGGAGAGCATTTGCCTTGCACGTGTGAGGCCCGGGGTTCCTTCTCTAGCACCCCAAGTAATAACCAGTGCTTACGAAAATAGTCCCTTTGTTACTTGTTACTTGTCTCCTTGGATTTCCATTTCTCCCTGGGTTTCATTGGCAAATGTGGTGAACTCCTGGGTGAACCCTGTGGAACCCCTTCCTCCTCTCCCTGTGCTGTCTGTCCTGTGGCTTCATCTCCTCATGGGTCCCATGGATCACGTGCAGGCACAGGGACCGGGACCTGCCCTGGCAGGCATCCAGCCTGCCATCAGGGCTCAGGGTCCAGAGGAACTGAGATTCTCATGACTGGTGTTTTAAACTTAATCTAGCCAGGCGTGGTGGCGCACGCCTGTAATCCCAGCAGTCTGCAAGTTCGAGGCCAGCCTGGGCTACAAAGTGAGCTGAAGACCAGTCTGAACTGCATAGCAAGACCCTATCTCAAAAAGACAAAAAAAAAAAAAAAAGGCGGGGGTGGCTGGGGATTTAGCTCAGCAGCACAGCGCCTGCCTGACAAGCACAAGGTCGTGAATTCGATTCCTGGTACCAGAAAAAAAAAAAAAAAAACCATCCCCACAAGAAAATTAATCAGCTTTGCTCGTCAAGTCGCTTTTTACACAGAGGAAAGACTGCTTGAGATTCCTCTTAAGTGTGGGACAATCCACACAGTCACTTGTTCAAGTGGATTAGATCTCATCAGTTAAGGCTCAGTTCATAGATTAATTATTACAAGGCTTCTGAGCAAGATTCACTTTCTCCATTAAAGTCTGTATTTTTATGTCAAGCTTTCTCTGCAACAAACATTTTTAAAAATATTGATTGCTATAACAAGGACTCATGGTCTCAAAGTAATAGTCACTAGAACTGTTCAGAGACATCATTACTAATCTTTATTTATGCAGTGCTGGGGATCAAACCCATGCCCTTGCACATGGTAGGCAATTTCTACCATAAGCTGCACCCTCAGCCCTTGATATATATTTTATTTTAGAAACAGGGTCGTGCTGTGTAGTCCAGGCTGGTCTTGAACTGACTGTATAGCTCAGGCTGGTTTCGAATTCAGGCTTGGGGTGAGTGATCCTCTTGTCTCAGCCTCCTGAGGGCTGGGATTGCAGGTGTGTGATACCTACTTTAATACAGTAGGAAAAATATTTTTTTGGAAAAAGACAGGAACTGGAATTTTGTGATGTCCAGACCCAGAATAAATACAGCTCTCAGCTGGATGTTAGGGCAATGGTATGTAACCATTTGCTAATTCCTCCCCTGGTCTTCACAGTCCGAATGGCTAATCCCACTCTGCCCTTTTGCAGGGAAATGAGCTTTCATTCTTCCCCTTACAGACAGACCCTTGTGACATTTGTTTGGATGGGATTTTGTATCAAAGCTGAACCTTACTGTAATTTATCCCCAGGTAACTAACATACCTGAGCCTCAGCTTCCTCACTTGTAAAATAGCAGTGACTATCACAGCATCTTGCGGGTTAAAGAATTAAATAAGAAAAAAAAATTAAATAAGCATTAAGTGTCTGGAATATTTGCTATTACCATGGGAACAAAGATTCAAATGTGACCCAGAATAAAATACGTTAAGAAACTGGGCATGGTGGCACATGCCTATAATTCTAGCACTCTGGGAGGCTGAGGCAGGAGGATCACAAGTTCAAGCCCAGCCTGGGCAATTTAGCAAGACTCTGTCTCAAAATTTTAAAAAAAGAGCTGAGGGTATAGCTCAGTATGAATATCTTGGGCTTAATCCCTGGTACCACAAAAATCAGTCAATTAAACAAACTAAAAAGTGCTGGGAGATACAATGTAGAGGTCTGATCCTGACTTTTGGTGACAGTCCCAGCAAGATCTGGCCTGGTTTCTGCCTTTGGCTGCAAATCCTACCCATCTTCCATTTACCTTGTACCTTGGGCCAGGTCAGGGTGGGCCACTGGATGGCACCTGGCCTGTTGGGTACCTGGATGGCCACTACCTGGTCCCCTCTTCCCAGCCCCACTGCTAGTCAACAGACTTCCCCAGAGAGCCTGGGGTGACCCCCAAACCCCCAGGATACATTGCACGGCCTTCTGATCTCCCCTAAACAACAACCATCTCCCCACTCCCACCACATCACTTTTCCAGCAGCACCCAAAGGTGTTTGTCCCGAGAGGCCCCCACTCCTGCTGGACACTTTGTCTTGCTGTGACCTGATCTCTGTCCCTGCAGTGAGACCAAGGGGACCTTCCCGAGGGTGTGCAGGTGTCCTCCCGAAGGACAGCCTTGCTGAGGACCTGCCATCTGTCCTTGCGCTCGTGTGACTGCTGCTGGCCGCAGGGAACCGGGGAAGCAGGCGTTCATTTTCCTGTTTTCCTTTGCAGGCTCCCGGAAGAGCACCTGAGAGCCGTCCAGGAGTACCTGGGCACTCAGCTCGCCCTGGACTCTGAGTTAGCAAAGACAGGCTCCAGCAGCCTTCCGCACCTGAAAAAGCTGATCTCGCAGCTCTGCAAGGAGCTCCACGGGTAACACGGGCCCCTGGAGGGTGGGGGGCACGGGGAAGGGCGTGGCCATTAGCTGGTGAAGTAGCACACACCTGAAACCCCTGGGGAGGCCGAGGCAGGAGGACCAAGAATTTGGGGGCAGTCTGGGCAGCTTAGCAATTTAGCCAGGCTCTGTTTCAAAATAAAATATAGGGCTGAGGATTTAGCTCAGCGGCATAGCGCCTGCCTGGCAAGCGCAAGGTCGTGAGTTTGATTCCCAGTACCGGGAAAAAAATAAATAAAACATAGGGCTGGGGATTTAGCTCAGTGGCACAGCGCCTGCCTGGCAAGCGCAAGGTCGTGAGTTTGATTCCCAGTACCGGGAAAAAAATAAATAAAACATAGGGCTGGGGATTTAGCTCAGTGGCAAAGCGCTTGCCTGGCAAGTGCAAGGTCGTGAGTTCGGTTCCCGGTACCGGAGAAAAACCGAGAAAAACCAAAAGAAAAAAAAAAAAACATAGAAAATTTGAAAAAAAAAGACACTAAGATTAAAAGTAACAATGTTTTATGGTTCAGAAGATGAATCTACAGCTATAAAAAAAAAAAAAAAAAAAAAAAAAGAAGTGGCT